GAAACTCCCCTATAAATACATTTATACAAGCCTAAATACACAATCTCTCAGATTTCTCTAAGCTCCAGAAAAATCCACCTTATTATTTTTGACACTAATGTACTTTAGAAGCAGCCATCTCTCTTTAAACTGCTCTGAGTTACGCACACTTCCCGTGTTAGTATCAAATCGTTGCCCTAGAAAGCTGCAGCAGGCATTCGTGTGGAAGAGGCATCTCCCACCTGAAATCCTTCAGACTAGAGCAGTGCAGAAAAGAGGTCACCTTGTCCCTCTGAGGACTTCTAGGATTTCTTCAGTGCCCTCACAGACACACAGACTTGGAAAAGGATTGTAAAGGAAGGCAACAAGGTACTAAGGGCAGTGGCATAACTGAGACAAATCTCTTGTGTCACATTGGGTTGGAAGGCAGTTCTGACTGGGACCCTTCCATTTTTCTGACTGGGACCACTCAGCTGGGGAAATCAGCCCAACTGCAAGAGATCTGAGGAGGAGTGGGGCTGTGGAGGGACCATTCTTTCTTTCAGGAATGGAAACATGGGAGCTTCTCTCTGACAATCTAATTTAAATGCTGGAATGAAAAGATCTATATACAAAGGCTGATCAAAGAAGAGAAGAATGGAAAAGAAAATAATGCTTTCCATTTCCTTTTGGATGCAAACAGATTTTGTTCCTTCCAAATATACTCTATGGTCTCCTTTCCAAATTTTGCCAGCAACTGGCACAGCTGCTGAGTATGAGCCAACATGTGGCTGAGGCACATGTAGCACTCAGATTTTGAACTTCTCCCTTTCTTTTCTTTTTCTTGGTTAGGTAACTTTGTTTCTCTAATTGAACACTATAAAACACCCTTTGAAATTTAAATGCCACCATTACTGCTTTTCCAGTACATTTATTCTGTTCTTGGCTCATACAGGATTAATGTGGTTATTTAGACTAAAGATTAAAAAACTTAAAAAAATATACAAAACTTAGGCCACTAAAATCTGCCTGTTTGGGATTTCTGGCAAGCACTCTGTGTAAGTTTGCAGCAGCACATTCACACACTCAGACAAATAGTGAGAAGAGGGAATGCTATTTATTCTGGGCTTACTACATTTATTTTGATTCAAAAAACTTTATTTTTTACAAACTAATGTTTGTTTTCATGTAAAACAGGTAAAATGCACAGCAGTCAGAAGTGAATGACAACTGTACAATTAGCAACATTTCAAGCAGTAGAAATTATTAGGGTTGCTTAGTCAGCATGTATGGAAACTACTCGAAATACTTATTCTTTCAAAGCAAATGTGCAAAACCACATACATGCAGACTTTACCACCAGAACGCAACTCCTGGACAAGATTCATATCTTGCAGTTCTCTGTATCTGCTGCTACATGTACAAGTGTTTCCCTGGACCTGACATAAAAAGAAATGCTCAAGCTTGATTTGGCATTTAATTCCACTACAGGAAAGCAATAAGCAGCAGCTAACCATGCTGTCCACACCTAAATTCCACTGAAGTCAAGTATGAAGTACTTTATTGAAACAGAAATGGAGCTAAGCATGTGTAACCTCTCTTGAGGATATAAATCTAGACAGAGCTGAACCCCATGAAGAACTGTTTATGCTCAAATGTATTTTTTATTCAAATGTAACGCATCTTTTATTCCGATAATGCAATTAAATATATTTACTTACACAGCAGAAAACTTTCACAGCCATTTCCTCATCAAACTGGCCAAGGATTATCCGAACATCGTTACCCTAAAGATTGAACAAGATACATGGCAGTTAAATACACGCCCAGCCTTTCCAGAAACCACTTCTGTTGGCTATTCCAACTGTGTAAAGAGTTAGCACAGATTACAGCTGCAGACAGAAAAATTAATTCAGAACTATTCCATTTTCTATAAATTCAAGAATTTTAAATACTGCAAGAAACAGCAGCTGAGGTGTGTGAAGAAAATGAATAAGCAATAGCACTAATGAGAATAAAATTGTAATGTTTATCTTGTCAAATATTACTATTCACTAACATCAAAATATCAAATATTATTTTGATCCCTTGCAAGATTTCTTTTTTTTAAATTTTGCATATTAAAAGCAGCTGAAAATATATTCTTTTCTCTGCTTATATGAACTGACGCTGTAAAGTTGAGAGACTGGAAAATTGTAAGTGAGAAAAAATACTGTGATATGTCTGTTTCAGTAATATTTCAAGGTTTCACTCATACATCTTTCTCTACAGTCACTATAACACATTGCAAATCTCTCTTCTCCTCCCTCCCACCTCCATACATTAAAAAAAAGTCATCATACTTCAAGAATCTATGACTGAATTCAAAAGAGATTATTTTCTTTTCATACTTAGAAACATATTAAGAAAATATTCCTAAATTCAGGAGCATACGTAGGAAAATATTTCTCAGGAATGGGCTAGCCTTTTTCTCATGTGAAAAATTGCTGCTAACAACTATAAAACACAGAACAGATAGCTTTTTATGACTTAATATTACCCTTTATTTCACACAAAAGCTGAGTTCTCAGCAAAAGCTTGAGCAAATGTAATATTTCATTTCTTTTATAAAATACTTGGCTAGAATTACTTTTTTCCTCTCCAAGGAAAAAAGACACAGATGATTCAGTGTGAATTTCAGTGACAAAAAAACATTTCAGTTTTAATTAAATCAATGTATCAAAGATTTTCAGTTTAGATAATTTTGATGTTTATTTCCTGTTCAGCAGAAAATATTATGATGGACAGTGCACAAAGATAGTAGAATGGTTCTGCAATTAAATGCATTAAAGTAGTATCACTCCTAGCACGGTTAAAGTCAGAAAGAAGGTAATATGCTTTGTTCATTCTGAACCTGTACATTTTCAGCAAGCCTATTTCTCTTTCTTTTTATATTAAGCCACAGATTGATAAAGTAATGTAAATCTTTTGGAAGTGGATTAGATTCTTTTAAACAAATCTAACAAGGTCACATGAAACTAAACAAATTACACAAATTACAGCAATAGTATTACAATTTTTGTAAGGACAATAAATAGATTTAGGAATTATGCAGAAAAAAACCCTTCACATCTATTACTTTTATTTTTCACATTTAAAAAATAATTTTAGTCACTCTTGGAACTCTGACTCTGAATCATTTGCCCTCTCTGAACATAAAAATGTAGATTTAATATTTGGAAAAAAACTAGTTATGTTTGGTTAAAAAATAAATGACAAAGAACCTAATTATTAAACTTAAAATCGAATAAATTCCTGTTCATAGAATCATAGAATGGTTTGGATTGGAAGGAACATTAAGGATAATCTAGTCCAATCCCACTGCCATGGGCAGGTACACCTCCCGCTAGACCAGGCTGTTCAAAGCCCTGTCCAACCTGGCTTTGTACAACCTGACTTTTTCATTTTATAACATAACAAGAACCAATTAAAAAAAAACCAAATCCAACAACAAAACAAAAACAAAACCAAAAACACTCCAAACAAAAACTAAACACCAAAACCATAAGATGTGTGGCCTCAGAGTTTATGAGGACCAGAGACTGTAGGCAGGGTGTAGAGAATAACCCTATAGTGCATATGCAGCAGCGCTGCCCGCAGGCTATGCAACAACCTTCAGACTGAAGGCACAGTGTCTGTGGTGTCTGGTACCATGCCTTAAGACATTGCTTCCACCTGATTATGATATAAACCAGAGTACCTTCCCCACACCTATCCCATTTCAATAACCTCACAGTCTGCAAGGATTTTTTTAGTGCTAATATAATTGTGCAATTAGTTTAGCAATAGCATTCAGACCCAAACCATGCACATTCAGCCACAGGAGAATGTGACTTTACAATGTCTTTAGTCTATAGGCATGCAAGCAAACAGACACACAAGAAATTAATCTTGAAAATGTTTTTCACAGAAGGCATAGCAGAGCACCCATTCTAATACTGGCATTCAATCCTATTTTCAACCACATTCTGCTCTTGTTCAGGCACCCAAGCAAATGGGTATATTGGCCAATTTGTCCAGCTATCAGCAGAGCCAAGTTCTGAATATCTGCCTATACCAATATCTGACTAAGGATTTCAGGGACACTGGATTTTCTGTCAGGCAGGTATCTCCACTTCCAGCATGGGCTGAGCATCTGATGCCAGAGCAGAAAATCTGCAGTGTGAAAACCACATCTGAACCAAGCTCTTGAGATTGCCTGATGCTCAACTAGAAAGCTTCATGACCCACGTTCAAAGATCAGCTATGGCTCTAAAACTTGATGATCCCTGATCCTCAAGTCATGATGTCTGTCTTTTTATGTGCAATATTCTAAGGAAAAGGCTTCTCTGACAGAAATATGAACCACAGTCCTCCCTACATTTTTCCAGGTATTAACCTTTTAGAGGTGGGGAAAATCACAATCCACATATGCTCAGTAGTGGTGAGAGATGGATCCAAGAAGAAAATGCTAAGAGTCACTAAATAAAGTGACTAGAGGTAGGATCAAGTGAGAGAAAAAAGGGCTCATGGGAAGGAGAGACAGACCCAACAATGAATTTGGGTAATGAATACTTGCACTTTTTAGGCAAAGATGGAGAAAACGGCTGGGGAGGTAGTAGTAGGCTTGAGACCAGTATTGAATAAGGAGCTTGGGAGGGGGAATTAGGACTTTTCAAGAGTATAGCAAATAGGAAGCTTGACAAATAATTACTGTTAGGACAATTGCAATCTCAGAAAATAAGGTCAGAAGAAAATGGAACAACAATCTAGACAAAGGTACTTAGAGGAAGATGAGAAATCAGAGAAGCAAAATATAGCATTGAGTAAGCAAGGAACTTCAGACTGGAATGAAGATCCAGAATGAGATAGGGATTTTGCTACGTTAAGTGGAGAGCATGGGATCACAGGGTCAAGCTGACTGTGAATATATGGCTGAATATATTTTTCTTTGTCCAGCCTCATAAAGATGCATCATGAAGAAGATAATATATAATTCTAGTTGGTTAGTCATGTATGGGAAATTACAAAAGATTCCTCGTGTTTATAACCACGCAGATATCAATAAAATGCTGTGAGGTGCAGTGCCTGGTGTTTCATGGCTTCTTAACTGAAGAGTGGAAAATTTAGTATGCAATCATGTAACCAAATAATTGTATGTTAGAATACATGTAGAAGGAACTAATTTAGGGAAGTCTGTACAATAGCTTTTCTTATTCCATGCATAACATTTTTCCTGTGTAATGATGCGCTCCTCAGTAAGCCTCTTTCTCTCCAACTCGGCTTCTTGTGTCCCCCTCCACATTTTTCCCAAATTTGTTCATGAAGAATTGCATTCAAGCCTAGATCCATTCAATGCCAAGTTTGAGTCTGCTGGCTCTGTCCTGCATAAGAGACACTGAAGCTTCAAATTCATGCAACTGGGCATAGCTCATATCCCTTGCAGAGATTTTAGCTAGACGGATAGTGAATTCTGCACTGAAGATAATCAGAGCTGGGTTCATTTCAGTGCTCACAGGTCAGGGTATATGTCACATTATAGTCTCATGCAAAGAGATACATCAGATGTTTACTGGGGCATAATTTTTTTCCCTTCAGTCACACTGTTAACTGTCAACCAGTATGATTTCCTGGTAAGGATATATTAATGCTTTAAGTTAACACAGTGCAACTCTCTTGTAGGGATCAAAGTCACCCACTGGATCTCAGCAAATGTTGAGTACTCTTTCTTTCTCAGAGTTGTAAATTGCTTGCATTGAGCTAAAGTGTGTTTGACAGAAGAGTTTTTAATTGATGGAACTAGGCAGGTGATCTATGAGATGATTAAAAACATCTCAGGGGGAAGGCAACTCCCAAAACTGTGCTTATATAAAAAGACCAATGTTTAGACCATTTGCCAGATGGTGAGCTGTCATATTTACTCTTCTCAGAGATCAGAGTAGCAGTATCAGCATTTAAGCTTTGCCCCTCCGTAAGCAACACATATGTTCCCATATGGACTAAAGTTCAAACAAGAAAATGAAGAACAGTTACATTTCATTTACCCACAGTTGTGGCAGACTGTCCATAAAAGCATTTTATAAATGAAGACTATGGCACAACCTCAAAAATTAATTACTCTCTTGCTCCCTTCTTTATTTCATATAGGTGAGAATATTATTCATCCACTAAATATAGAGTTTCTACAGTTGAGTAGTAAAATCTGTCCTCAGGGGACAGTGGGGATCAAGACGTCTATGATGCTCCCTGGAGGGATGAAGAACAACTTGTCTCCTCCTCTGTAATTTCCAACAGCCTCAGACATAAGGCACTCTTTAGACTTTTCAGAGTTTTTGAGTGATGCACATTATGCTGAAATAGGCAGCCGTTATTTTCTTTTTTTTTCGGCCTACAGTGCTTCTCTTCTGTGATCAGATTTTAATCTCTCTCATTTCTAATGAATAACACCACAATGTTACATTACACAGCTTTCCAGAGAAGAATTGCTACAATATCTCATCTGCCAGGGAAAGTCAATGTCTTGGCAGGCCCTTTATGAAATATCTAAATCAAACAGCTCAGATACTCTGTCATATTCTCCAGCACGTATCTGGCAGTCAAGATGTTATCAATAAATCTACTCAGAGCTGGGTAACTTTGTCAATAGAGGTATCCACATGTTCTGCCCTCTAAATGCCTGTATGTCCTCTTGAACAATTTAAGCCTCTCACCTTAGCTATGGAATCTTAGCAATGGATGGTGAAGGTGCACTACATGATGTCGGCTCCCAGCACCATCATGTGCTGGCAAAACTGGCTGACGTCTGTGTTAGTCTGCATGTCACTCACTTATATTGAGGCTGCAAACCTCTTCCTGGCCCAAAATTTTAAAATTTAATTAACTTTACTGTCAGAATGACAGATCGCATTTGGTCAGTACCCAAAATACCTACTGTATTTGGGAAATCAGATGGAAATTGTTTCACTGAATTGGAATTGATATACTGCAATTTTTTGTCCTACGTGCAAGACACAAGAAAGTTGGAAGCAGAAGTGTTATCACTCATACAATTTGCCTGTGCATGCTTGGAATTTTTAAACATTTAAGTTGATGTACAAATGCATATCCTTCAACATCCCATTCTCTGAACATAAAAAATGAGTTTTAAAGATATCCTCAAGCCTAAATCTACTTTCCAACTGTGATTCAAAGAGGTTGGAGTTAATGTAGTAAAAATTAAGATGTTTCTGGGAAAAATATAGAACATATATTTCTGCAAACCATACCAGATATTTCTATTTTGTAATGCATAATAATTAACTTCATTAATTCAAATTGAGTTTACAAAAAGAAAAGGTATTTCAGGTCTATTTTCATCACAAGTACATTAAGCAGATACCAATTTACCTATATTAGGTTTACATCTTGAAGAAAAGTATTAACATTTTCAGAATTGGAGAGCGAAGCTGTTCCTGACACATGTATCTAAGGACAAGTAACCCTATATTCCTGTCAAGAATAAGTGATTGTCTAGATAACTGCTTATTTATTGTTACAGTAATTTGTTTTGAAGAAGAAATCAAGAGATAACTAATATATTGATTGACAGAGTCTTCTGGTCTTTCCTATAAAACAAGCATGTTGTTTACATACAGGAAAGCTAGAATCTCATTGCTTCTTCTAACCTTCAGCCTAAATATATATGTATATATGCATTTTTTCTTGTTATTACATCATCCATTGGTTTAAATATCTCTGCCTTCCGAATGACTAGTTTTCTGATGCCAGGAGTTAAAGACGATGTCAAAAAAATGGACTTTACTGATAACACATACTGGAGTATTTGCAACCTCAGATAGGAAATGCAAACTGGCTTAGACTGGAAAGACACAAATGGCTTCCTATGAACATAATTTTTACCTATTTACACTTTAAACATTCAGGTTTGCACCTCTAGACTGTGGGAATCATAAAGCACACTTAGTTTACCATGCTTCAGACCTTTTCCAGTCAGCTTCAGTGGTGGCATAGTCTTACACAGGTCTATATCCTTGGTTTAATTTTAGTTTTAATACCTTTCACTTTATTAGGGTTTTTAAAACCTGTTTTACACGTATTTAAGCATTTCCACTGTTGTGGCTTTGTTTGTATTTGATGCCAGCAAAGATTTGATCTTCACCATTCAAGTGTTTTCTCTTGCTGTTCCTTCATATTTTCATGTTCATATGCAGCTTAAGGTTCTTACCTTCTACGTCTAGTTTATTATTGGTTACACTGCATGCTAACATATGGTTTTAATTTTATGAGATGCCAGGAACCCAATAAATCTTTATAATAATAGAATGTTGGTAAATTATTCTGCTATCAAATTTCTTTTTCCTTTTTTTCCTTATGATTCATATGAAACAATGTAGATGATTATAAGCAGGGAATTTAATCTAAAATGTGTAATGATGCTAATGGAAAGAAGCTCAATGCTTTCGCTACATGATAATTTACCTTAAAAGGGTTCTGGTTCCAAACCACAAGAGACTTCACACATATACCACTAGGACTGGCACTTTAGCTACAAACATTAAGCCAGCAACATGTTGCTTTACTTTGTGTCTTTATCAGGAGCTATAAAAATATTTACTATATGTATGGACATTCATTGAGTTAAGCAGGACTAGGCCCTCAAAATTACCTCTGTAAGCCTTACTAAGCAATGGAATGTAGCAGTATATTATTCTTATACAAATTTTGTTTTATTAACCTTCTTCATAGGAAAAAAAATAAATGAAATGCCATGAAATAATCATCACTTTCTCTTTACTCCCCAAAGAGCAGCACATACCTTAAGCTTCTTTACACTTGTGCAGGGATCATTGGAGAAACTCTCAGTATCTGAAATTTCAATGTCTTCACCATACAGGACACCAGTCAGATCATTTCTCACCTGTCAGAAGTTGAGAAAAAGGCAAACTCGTGAACTGAGACTCAGGGTGGAGGAAGCAGATGGACTATATTTATCACTGTAATGACAAGCAATGATTTTGGCAACGATAGGAGCAGCCACGGGAATGGGGGTTTTTTCATTTTGTCTAAAATCTGATCAAGACACCATTCTTTAACCACCAGAATCTACTATCAATGGATGTACTATGTAAAAAGCTTTACTATATGTGACAAAAAGTTCATAGCAGGCTCCCACTCTGCATCAGGGGGATGGAAAATTATTATGTTGTTAAGACCAAAAGCTTTCTTGTAGCCAAAGTGATGTTTGAGACTGCATAAAGGGAAAAAGACTCCCGAGGGATACTTTTGCATATTCTCAGTTCTGAGGGCTGATTTGAAACCACCATCAGCTGGTCCCAGCATGAATCAGCAGAGCTATACTTACGTCAGTTAGGGATTGGTAAAGCTTAATGAATTCCTCAGTGCCCTCCCCCTTTCTTAGAGCACGCATCTCACTGCATGGGGCAGCGAGTGGTATGGTTTGCTTAAAGGTGACACAAGCAAACCATCTATCAACAGATTTTTCTCAACTGTTTTGTCTGTTGTTTTTTTAATAATGGCAAGTCTCTGTCCTCTTTGACATGCCTAATAGCACAAAGAAGCCAGATAACAAAGTAAGCTGGTTTACAGATTTAGGTTTGTGGGGGTTTTTTCCATATAACTTACTTCAAGGTTTTCTATCTTAAGCACTGCTGGTTTTCCTCTAGCCATGACTGCAAAACCAGGGTTTCACTACTTGCAATAGATAAGCAAAAGTAATTTTAGCTGGATATAATGTGGTTAAAGATTGAATGTAGAGAACACACTCAAATTTTAATTTAATAAAATTATGATCACATTCATTGCACTTTTTTATTTCTTTGTTATAACAGAAATAGAAGCAAGTCACAGTGCAAAATAGATATCTCAAATGCAAACACAGAAAATACAATACATAGAAGAGAAATATATATGATATTAAACAGGAAAATTGAGAAGTCTATAAATTATATGCAGATAGTTTCCAATGACCCTCTGTATGGATTGTTGTAATTACATATATTAAATCTCCCTCCTATCTCTCCTTTTACTTGAGCACCTTTGAAAGAGAAGCACAGTCTATTCAAAACAATCTGAAAATATTTGATGTACAGTAACGTGGTAGATTAAAAAAGAGGAAGTGGCATCTGTCTTTCAGAAGTAGGAAATTCTTCATTTGAATTTAAGTAACCATTAAGTTTATCTAATGAGAAGACATTTTATCCACGCAAAAATAAGACCCAGCTATGGCTAATTTTCCTCTCTGAAGGTGTGTCACGCTCATGCCTACATACAAAGTGAAAGCAAGGGGATGCAATGAGAAACGAAAGGTGCCACATGTGACCTCTCTGTTCTGCCAGCAGTTTTACTTTTGAGACAAACTAATCTCTTCAGTAGTCCTTCAACATTTCTTTAATATATGTCTATGAGCATACTCCCAATCTATGCATGTTAGTGGTTCTATTGGGTGTTTTTCACGCTTACATGTTTACCATGCATTACCATACACTTTTTTTTTTGGTATGCTGTTTAACTGTTTTAGATAGCAACATGGTTATTGGCAAAAAAGAGGAACATCAAAGCTATCTTTGTACTTTTGCCAATTTTTTCAAGACAAAGAAGCATAATCTGATTTCTGCAATGTAGCAATTGCATTAATTGATTCTTACACAGCATTTAACCTTTTCACTGTTCCCTTTAAGTTGCTTTTGCCAAGTTTCTTGGTTGACCAATGAAGTATTTCCTGAATATCATTACTATGCTGCCTGCCTTAATTATTTCTTTCATGGCCTCTGCTTCATCTTATCTCTTTTCGACATGCTTCAAAATTACCAAGACACCTTTTTACATTATAACCTTTTATAATTATTAAAACAAGTGGATGTATAGGTAATTTTTTAATTAAAAATTATTTTATTTTACAGAAGTAACAGTCAGAATGGTCAGTCCACCAAGAGTTGAGTTATATCCTTCATCATTTTGTGATATTATGAGGTTTTTAAGGGTATTCAGTGAAAATTATTCACTGACAAAAAATGATCAATAGTGACTCCTTTTTCTGCTATATACTAGTAAAATGAATGATTAATATGTTAGCTCCAGCAATATCATTAACTGCTTCTTATGATACAGGTCTTTCTAGATAGAAAGAAAAATTGATTTTCTAAAACAAGCTATCAGTGATAACAAAAGAAAATAGACCTCACTATCATAGTTCAGCTAATGTCCCAAATCCTTCAACCTAATATGGAAGTTCACTAAAACTATCATGTTACTTATTAAAAGTGAATTTTTCCTTAGCAAACTGAACTGTACTTTCCAAAGGCATACAACATGTCATATGGTTTTACCCCATACTGTCCTAACCTTGTTCTGTGAAACAAGAAACTTTTAATTGCAAGTTTGCTTTTCTGATAACTGGATTTTATTTTTCTGGAGGCACTTCTAGCTATTGTTTTAATCTCAGAGAGACTAGATTAACATTATTCAGCTGATCTGAGTAGAAAACAGCTGATTCACCAAATACCATTTAGTCAAATTAGACCATTATTAACATGAGAAAAAATATAAAAATACACATCAAATGTTATTAAAACAGACTAACACTTATAGATATGCTTCACTTACAGATACGCTTCAGTGGATGGCACAAGGCTCACACTTGATTAGACTTCAGACTGTCTACTGACTAGCTGTGATTCCTTCCCTTCAAAACTTGTTTGTGAACTTTGCAATTGACGTATTCAACTGCATATGAATTTTTTTCTAAGCGACACTTATTTAAATTCAGTTACTGAGAAATATCTTTGACATCCTCCCTGCCCCATCTGCTAGAAGCCCAATACTCTGCAGCTTTCAGCACTCTTAGACTTTTCACTGAACTACTGATTAATCTCCCAAAAGACACAACTCATTAGATTTGGTGCCAGAGATGTTGGAAACCTTTTCTCTTCACTTTCAGATGCATCTGTTGTGGAGATTTTGCCAAAAGAAAGGTGTTTCTTTTCCATTATCATAGCAAGATATTAGGATCTTTATAAGAATTTACAAGGTTTAAATTGTTTTTTTTCTAGAAGACTTAGTGTTTTTTCCCCCCTTTCAATGCTAGGTTCTGACAAATCTCATCTTGTGCCTCATCTGGGAATATTTCCACTACATTTTCCAGTCTTTATCTTAATATTTTTTTGTCACTATCCTCAGGTTCTTTTCATTTTTTTAAAAATAAATATTCTAAATATCTCACAGAATTGAAACTTGTGTTTTTCTTCCTACAGAAGTTCTTTACTTCTTTCAAATAAATTTAATTACAGAATCTTCTGATTTGGATTTGTGTCCAATGTCAGAATTCGCAGAGCCTCACCTCCAGTTCTAGAGCTGCAAATTCCTGTAGCAAATGTTTGTGAAGCTCAGTATACAAAATGCTGCATGTTTTGTTTTAGCAGATACCTGCAGTCCTGGAAAGCATATCACCAGCAATACAAGCAGTTTTAGAGCTCAGCAGTAATTGTTTCATTCCACCAGCTCTGAGTGAAAAAAACTGTAAAATACTATACTTTTACATCTTTACTGTGTAGAACAGGATAATTTCAACTGAAGAAAACTGCTGTAGAAAGTTGTAACAGAACTGCATTAAGCTCTGGTAGGGATCTGCAGTTCCTAAGTAATTCTTGCACTGACAGTACAGAAGTAGTGTAATTCCATGTGGCTTTAGTCCCTTGTTAACAATTGAATGAAGACACCAACATTTTGTTTTCCCAACAAATTTTTTTTGTTTCCACAAACCACTGCTTCGAGACCTTAGTCCTTCACTCACAGAAAACAAACAAACAAACAAAACCCCCAAACCAAAACACTATTACACTGCTCTGTTTACAAAGCTGGATGAAATCAGCATTTCAGCATCGCACGTATTTAATATATCCATATGTGGACAACTTGAAAAAATACTGGGGTGTAAAGATGTTTACCCAGCAGCAAGCTCCAAAAACTGAAGAGTTTATATGATGCATAAAGGATGCATTTGCAAGAAGAAAAGGATGACTCTTGTGCAGTGGACAGGATGCAAGAAAACTGTCTTTTATCCCTTATTCTGCCAGAGCTGCTCTGTGATACAGCTCATGTGACCTAAATAAGATTTTAAAGTTTGCTACCAAGTCTGGCTGTATCCTCTTTCTATGAAGTGGATGGCAGCAATACTTGCCTACCTCATAGCTGCTGTATCACATTCAGTAATGCTTGAGAGAAAAAAACAAAGTCCCTGACCCTGCACCTGTGAAGGAAGAAATACAGGGGGTTTGAAGAGCCAAGAACTTGCATTGCTGAGGAAGAAATTAATTTATTTAATCTCCAGCAAAGTGAGAAAGTAGACAGAATGACTAAATGGGCTGTAAAAAAAAAATTAGTCTAGACAGAACCAAATTACAACACTCTTGTGGTCTATATTAGGAAGGATGGATTTAGGTTTAAGGAAAGGAAGAGAATGTTGGGGAGCAGCACAGGCTAGCTGTTCCCTAGTGAACGGGGATGCAAGTGCAATAACACAGCAACCAGACCAGGGACCTCACCAGCTAGTGCTCCAGGAAGGGGGCCAGACAGGCTCAGGGGATACAGGCAGTTTCAGCCATGAGGTTGAATCTTCAGGCAAGTTCACAGAGATAAGGCACGTCCAGGATAAAGCTGGGAAGTCAATCCACAGGTCTGGGACAGGATCAGGTCTGGTGAGAACAGCCAAGGTCAGACACAGACCTGCGATTGCTGAGTATATCTGTACCAAGAAGACAGGTCTGAGGACAAGCCAGTAAATGAGTCCAAACCAACGGGGTTCATACCAGGCATGGCTATGACAGAGAGAGACCAGCACACCTACAGCATCCCTTGGGCAGGGACTGATGGTGTCAGGCTGTGCTGGATCAGGGTCCTATGTTGAGGGTGTAGTGGGGAGACACTTGGGGACCTGGTCAGGGGCAGATAGGGCTTTTGGTGTTCTCAAGGCCCTGACACTATCTTCTGGTTTTTGGCATGTTTTTTACTTCCTATATGGTCTCCATATGAAAATTCTTTGTGTACAATCCCTACCTCACAAGGATACAAAAGTGTATTGACTTTTTTAGGTGAATGTATATTGCTCACTTCAGTGGGATTATTAGTGCAAGCATCTGCTCACCAGTAGAAAATAGCTAGCATCCATTTGACCACAATATTTCATTTTCATTAAGTCAATTTTATAATTTTTTCCCAGGAAAATAGTAAAGAAAGGTGTTATTCCTGATGGACTGTCAATCTAAAGATAGCAGTTTGGATTCAGCGGTTTCCACTGAGCAACAGTTCAAACTAGGTTTCAAAGTATTCATTTAAATGCACAATCCGCTCATTTAATCTCAACTTTATCAGGTACAAAATAAAAGTAATAATTTTTAGATTAATCATACTACTTTTAACAGATATTTCTGATGACCTTTTGGTTCACTAAAGCTGTATGTAAGTACTGCAAGCTAAATCCTTGTTGTTCAGGGCAGTCTAATCCTACCAGATGTTTATCATAAGAGACTCCTAATGAGTGAGAACTGGTCAGACCAGATAGATTACACAGTTAGATATTTTGCTATGATTTCCTTCTGCCAAGATTTATACTGTGTACTTCAAAATGTTGTACTGTAGGAGTTTCAGTACAGAGTTATAAATACATGTATAAA